CCTGGACTCCTGGGTCTGAGCAGGAAGGGAGCTGGGAGCCTGGACTCCTGGGTCTGAGGGAGGAGGGGGCTGGGGCCTGGACTCCTGGGTCTGAGGGAGGAGGGGGCTGGGGGCCTGGACTCCTGCATCTGAGGGAAGAGGCTGCTGGGGTCTTGAACTCCTGGGTCTGAGTAAGGAGGGTCTGGGTGCCTGGGCTCCTGCGTCTGAGGGAGGATGGGGGCTGGGGGCTCAGACTCCTGGGTCTGAGGGAGGAGGGGGCGTGGACACCCCAGTCTCTGGCAGGCTGCTGCTTGCCCTTGCCATGACCAGATCCCTTGGGGGCGGGTTTCCATTTGGCAGAGTGGGGAGCCGAGGCTTTCCCAGTTCAGGCAGGAGGCCCAGATGGGTGCACTGTGGGGTGGAGGCATCTCCAAACGTGGGGGATACGCCTGTTTTGCTGTCGCCCGCCTCTGCGGCTCCGTGCCATTTCCGCGCTGTCTGCCTCTCCCTGACGCCCGCGCGCCAGCTCACGCAGCCTCTGCACCTCAGCCAGCATCTCTCTCCCTCTCAGGGTGTCTGGGTCTTCTGAGCATCTCTCCCTCAACCTCCCCTTTGCCCCCGACCTCCTGTTCCCGTCATTCAGGCTGACGTGGTTGTCTCTGGACAGGAAATCTGTCTGTGTCTCTTCCTCTCAGCCTCAGTTTCTCTCTGTCTCTATGTCTTCCCATGTCTGTGTCTCACTCATGTCTCTTTCTCTGTCTCTCTCTGCCTATGTCTCTGTCTTTGTCTCTACCCATGTCTCTTTCTGAATCTCTGTCTGTCTCTCTTTCTCTCTGTGTCTCTGCTGATTTTTATCTTTCTGTGTGTCTCTGTCTGTCTCTCTGCCTCTCATGTCTAAATCACCTTCGCTGCTCCTCCTGGCCCCACTTCTCCTAAGGACCCCCCTCTCCTTTCTTCTCTAAGGCATTTGGCCTCAGCCCCCTTCCCCAATCTACCCACAGCTTCCCCTCCTCCATTCCACTTACCTGGAAGCCATCACTCACTCCCACATTCTAGTCCTCTCCCTCCCAATTCTTTTCCCCATTCCCCCTCACCCACCGCAGTCCACAGATCTGCAGCCCCACCCCCACCTCCATCCCTAGGCCTATCCAGCTTCCTCCGCCATCTTTCTCCCCTCCCTCTTCATCCAGCTACCCCAACCCACAGCCTCCTTCCCCTCCTCACACCCCGCCTGAGACACACAGGGAGGAATCCAGGGCTGCGGTGGGGGTCAGGTGGTCAGCCAGGGAAGGAGGCAGCGTCTGCTGGAGAGACTCACAGACAGACAAGGACACACGGACACGGAGGCAAGGGCATAGCCAGGCATGCACGCTCACCCCCACACACGCATTTGCACTCGTATGCTCAGCCACACACTCAGTCTCCCTGCCATTGCTCTGCTCCTCCTCCTCCCTCAGCACCCCCTCTTTGTCTGCTCCCCCCATTAGGGGTTGGACACACACCCTGCAGCCCCAGGCCGCAGGGCACTGCAGAGCGCCCCCCCCCCGGGGGCCTGGAAGGAGAAAGAGAGGTCACCTGGCTGTCCATCTTACAGCCTGGACCTGTCCCCACCTTGGCTAAGACCGCACACACACAAACACAGTCTCTCAGGCGCTGCAAATGCAGACACCTTTGCAGACAGTCGGACACACAACCACAGTCACACAATCGCAGGCAGAATGTGCCGACAGGGCCTAGCAGAGCCAGGACTGCACACACACACATGCACACACATGCACCCAGGCACACGCACACACGGCTGAGCACGCAAGCGCGCAAGGTCAGGCGGAGGTGCTGAGGGCTGGGCCATGCTCCGCGGACCCCGCACACAAAGCCAACATACGCAACAGACTCCCGCCGGCCCAGGCGGCCTGCACACACTCCC